ACGTATTTGGTGTTTGTCGACATTCACTGATGAAAGTCAACAACCACTGATTTCGGTCTTTCACCGTGACATATATACATAATATTGATATCTATGGATTATGCTTAAAATTTAATTAGCTTAAAAATAACTGCAAAAGATTTTCTTCCATTAAATTAGAGATTTTTAGAAAGTTGTGTTGCTTATAAAGCAAATATTTAACTAAGCAATTAAAATAAATTCAAAATAGCATAAGTTTAGTTTTCTTAATTTAACAATTATGTAATTTCTACTTATGTAATTTCAGTCATCTGAACAAGAGTCTAAACAGATTGGCAGTGATGATCCATTTTCTCTCGATGAAAATGTGGAGGAATTGCAAGCAATCGCTAGAAAATTTGAAGAGAAATATGTAAGTTCTTTTGCTTACCTTCTTAGCACTTGACTGTTTCATTATTAATTTAAGAAGTAGATTGTCAATAAATAATAATAAAAAATTGCACGCCATTGTATATAATTAGAATGTGTATTTTTTTTTTATAGAACCCTAAGCCTGGTAGGAAGAAAAAGAAAAAAATGGCCATATCTGAAGATTATATAGACAAAGGGATGGGATATGACGAGACTGATCCATTCATTGATAATGGGGAAGCTGTATGTATAAGATTTACTGAAATGTTATTTGAGGCATCTTTTGTATTATCATTTTTAATTCTAAATTTAATCATTGTTAGCAATTAAAAAATTTTTAAATTATGATTTAATCCAGTATTTTATTTTGCCACATTGTTTGAATATCTTTATTATTTCTTTTTAATATTTTTTTGTTTATTTTATTTGAAGGTGAAAGCTTTAAAAACTGATGTAATTTAATATTTTTTAAGAACTGACATTTATTTCATGTTTAAAATAAAGTATTTTTTTTCAAGTTTAAAATAATTTTAGATTTAGTTTTTAGTTAGTCACTCAATACAACCTGAAACTAATGTGTTTTAACTTTAGTCTACAATGAAATTCATTCTTGCAGTATGATGAACTCGTGCCATCAAGTTTATCTACCAAATTTGGAGGGTTCTATATCAACAAAGGTGAATTAGAGTTTAGGAATAACTCTGAATCTGAAAATGGTACTGATGGCAAACCAAGGAAAAAGGTATGTGAGAAAATGTTTTATGAGTTTTTCTATGTATAAAATATCTTATATTTAATTTCTATCCAATTTTACCTCGCATCTGGTGGGAATTTTTTTTTTCTGAAATTGAGTGTGAACCCTTGTAAAAATAAAAGAAAATTTTAGTTACTAAGCTCAAGTGTTTTTCTTTTTAATACCCATTTGATTTACTATCTACTTGATTAGTTAATAAATTTTAAGCAAGCTATGTACTACTGCAATGATTATTTTCAGTAATATTACTTTTATAGTTTTATTTTTTAAAAATTATTTTTCAATAAATTTGAATATAATGAACTATTGTTTATAAAAGACTTATTAATAGGTTTTGAAATTTCTTTAAGGACGTTCTAAGAAATTAGAGAAACTTAAATGGAGAAAACTCATAACTTTTATTTAAAATTTACATTTAAGATTTCACAGGTTGACCTATAATTTTATAGTTATGCTAAAATGAAATCTGTATTGAAAATATCTATTTTTAGATATCTTTAACATATTATCTAGGACTTGTTTTGAATACTCACATTTCACAGTAGGTATTTGATTAATAAAAGTATTTTCAATTTTTAATGCAATATGAGATTATAAAATAGAATATAATTTGTTTGTTTTTGTAAATTTAAATTTTTTTTGATATTTTAAGACTGGTAATTTAACAAATTCTGTTACTCTACAGTGCTC